AAGCACATTTGTACGTTCATTGCCCTCATCATTCTCAAAACATTTGCTCTCCACTTAAGCCCCTGGCATCGGGTCCTCATTTTTTTCCCCCTTGTCACTTTTAAGGAGCCCTGGTGGCACAGCTGTTAAGCACCTGGCTGTCGACCAAAAGGATTAAACCTTCCCGCAGTTCCAGAGGAGAAAGGTGTGGCATCTGCTTCCGTAACCACTTACACCCTTGCAAACCGTCATAACCACTTACACCCTTGCAAACGTCGGGGCAGCTCTGCTCTGCCCTCCAGGCTCGCTGTGAGCGGGAATCAATTCCACAGCAGCAGACTGGGTTTCTCCCTGGTCGTTTTTGCCCCTTTCCTCTTCATTCATCAGCCAGCTCGGGAGTAGAAAGCCTCCTCCTTCTTCCAGCTGGTGGCTTTGAACTGTGGACTGTATGGTTAGCAGCCCAATGCATGACCTCCAGGGCTCCCTGGCAGTGACGTGGTTAGGTGTTGAGTTGCTAACCACAAAGTCCATAGTTCAAAACCACCAGCCTCTGCGCGGGAGCAAGACCGGGCTTTTTGCTCCTATAAAGAGTTACCGTCTCGGAAACTGACAGGGGCAGTTCTACCCTACCCTCTAGGGTCGTATGAGTTGGCCTCTTGAGGACAGTGGTTTAGGTTTCCCTCTTCATTAGAGACCAGAATTCAAACCCATCCTCTACCGTCATCGCTGGTGGGTGGCTGGAAGGTTATTCGCCCTTTGAGGTTCGAAGCTCCCTCCATGAACAGCGTGGAGAACCGCGGCGCTGTTGAGCAGTCTGGGGGACCGAGTTGGAGCAATGACACAGTGCAGTGCCGACAGCCGGCCAGCACGAGGTGTCGTGGAGTCGGTTCTGACTCGTAGCGACCGGAGCAGCACCACGTCACCCAGGGTTTCACTGGCTGATCTTCAGTCCATTGTGGAAGGAGCTTTGAGCTGGCATCTACTCCGCCGTAAGCACTTTGTTTTCTGATTTTCATGGCTCGCTTGTGGTTTGGAACAGACTCGATGGCAATGGGTTTGTTTGTTGTTTGTTTGTTTTTTATGACTCTGGCCAAGTTTCCTCCTGCTGGAAAATCGGTTTTAAAGAGACTCTTTTCCCCGGTGGGTAGAAGGGAAGAAAGAAGACCCACGTGGGTGAGGGGAGGTCACTTTCCTGCAGCAGAGGGCCATCTGAGGAATTTCTTGGGAACGGACGTGCTCATGTTCCACGGGCCTCAGACCAGAGCCTGTCACCCGAAAACCGCACTCAGCTTTTCCCAGTGGCGTAGCCTGTGTTTTTTAACTGTAGCCAAGAACAATGATGATGAGATGCGGTCAGCAGTCCTGGTCTCGTAAACACTCCAGACCGCGGTTCGCTTTAGAACATTTGTCCGGAAGGGAGATTTCTGAGGGACACTGCTTGTTTGTTCTTTTCAAGATCAGCTGCCCAACTCTTCCCAGGTGTCTCCTCTCATCGAATTAGCTTTCTTTAGAAGTTGTTCCATTTCTCACAATGCAGATATCTTTTTAAAAAAAAAAAAACAATTAATGAGACGGGCACTCTAGTGGCACAATGAATTAAGCATTGAGCTGCTAGCCATAAAGTTGGCAGTTCAAACCCACCTGCCGCTCCCTGGGAGAATGATGAGGCTGTCAGCTCTGTAAAGATTTAATGCCTCAGACACCTTATATACAGTCGCTGTGAATTGGAAGCAACTCAATGTCAGTGGATGTAGCAATGCCCTGGTGACCCTGTGAGTTAGGTCTTGGGTTACTAACTGCAAGCTTGGTGGTTCAAATCCATCAACTGCTTTGTAGGCGAAAGGCGAAGCTGTCTTCCTCTAAAAGGAGCCCTAGGCTACGAGCTCGGCTGATCATTGGAAGGTCAACAGTTCGAAACCACGAAGGGTTCCTCGTGAGAAAGGCAGGGTTTTCGACTCTAGTGAACAGTTACCGTCTCGGAAACTCAGTGGGGTAGTTCCCACCCCACTCCCTGCCCTACAGGGTCGTTGTGAGTCAGAATCCGCACAACAGCACTTGGTCTGCCCCCTTCATGGTTCACAGTCTCAGGTGTCCTGAGGAACATGGCCCTTCTGTTCTGGCGGTGGGTGAGTATGAGGGAAGCACCGGGCGGTATTTAAAGCCTTCCCACTGACCTAGACCTGAGGGAAATTTCCAAGGCAAAAGGATTATTTTTTTAAAAATTAGTGGAGTCCTCAAGGTGGGCTCGCAACCCAGAGTACATTCATGGGGAAACGCCCCCAATACGGAAAGTCGGTGTCCAGATTTGGGGTTCGTTTTATTTGGGGCCTGCGGCAGAGCCCTGAGACCTCACAGGCCGACCCCTGTGGGAGCCTGCTTCCCTCCACACCCGCTGCCAGACGCGAGCCCCACTCTCAGGGCGAGCGAGGCTGCCCTGGGCTACTCTTGACGTCACAGCTTTTTCTCAGGCAGCCTTTCATTTTGTTTAATGTTTTCTTTTTTAAAACAATCTTAACAGAGCATCAACTCATTCCTTTACCTATGAAAGCCCCAAACTGGACAAACCTTTCAGAGAAGAGAAATCCAAAGTGTCCTCGAGAAAGAGAGTGATAGAACAGCGTTAAGATCCACGAGCGGTCAAAGGCAGACTACTGGTGAGATGGGGAAACGGGGTTCCCGTGGGGTTCCGGCTCCTCTCCCCGCAGTTGTCCTGGGCCTGGTGAGCCCTTTTAGCTGCCACCTGAGCCAGCCTGGCGGCCCCTTCTAGTTCATGTGTTCTTGTGGATGTATCTGTTGATACTAGAGCTTTTCAGCCACAGATTTTTGAGAAGAAGAAAGATCGAGAAAACAAACAGATCAGTACAAGTGTTCGTTTTTTGTCACCATCGATGAGGAAGTTTCCTTATTGTTGCTAATCATTCTGATTCTTTTGCTGAGTGAGTAGACACCACCTCAAATTGGGCCTTAAAACTGGCTCCAACTCCCGAGGTTCCTACAGATCCTCCTCTGGTTCTGAGCTGCACTAAGATAACAGAAGCTCGGGGGCGTTGTTTGAAATAGCCTCACCATCATGCAGAGTGCATCGGAAAGTGGATTTCTGCAGATGCACTTAGGTTAAAATTCAACATGCTCTCATTTGACCTCCCTGATGGTCTAGTTAAATGTGTTCTAGCCTTTCATATTTTTCGCTTTCTTTTCAATTGAGGCTCTTATCTCTTGTACTCCGCTATGGTTGTTGGTTGTTCAGAAGGTTTTTCTGCATCTGAAATCCAGGATGAGTAAATCTAGAGACAGGCCCTGGATCAACGGTTCCTTGAGGGCAGGGCAAGGGAGCTTGGGGGGAATCGGGGCGCTAATAACGACGGTGTTCTCGCGCTGATTGTGGTCACGATGGCGCAGGGCTTCTTGAGGTGCTCGAACGACTGAATTGCAAGATGTGTTCATTACATGCCAATGAAAAAATGAAAAACAAAACAAACAAGAAAAGTTATAGGCTCAGATTCCGCCTACGGGGTGGAAACGGGAACTCTCAGCACCGGTGGAAACTGCCCGGTGGAAACTGCCCGCAGTCCTGCCTGCGTCTTGTGGCCATCAAGCGGGTCCCGACTTGCACCACCAATCAGCAAGTCCAGCGTGAGCAGCTTACGCAGATGGAGTCGTGTGATTTAAAGAAGCATTGCAACTGGACACGAACGACAGGTCCCTGGTGATGTGTGAGCCCATTGTGGCAGCCACTCTGTGAGCCATCGTCTGCCCAGAGCCCGTAAACTCCCCTAAAAAGCAAAACAACAACGAAACAGTTGCCTTCTAGCTGATCCGACTCATGGTGGCCCCATGTGTAGCCGAGTAGGACTCTCCCCCGTAGTTTCCAACGGCTGATTTTTCTCAAGGAACTAGCCAGGCCTTTCTTCTGAGGCACCCAACTCTACCCACGCAGGCGAGCACATGCCTCCCTTCCACCTCCCACTCACTCACTTCCTACCTTGGGGTCGATTCTGACTCAGAGACTCTGTGGGACAGGGTACCATGAAAGCCTCATCTTCTTCCTTTGGGACGCATGGTGGTTTTGAACGCCTGACCTATCGCTGAGCCGCCCAAGCATCACCCACTACACCACCAGGGCTCCTCTAAC